CAGAGTCACGGAACGGATTAAGTTCGTATCCCGAGGTACCACTGTATTTATTTATAAGATTTGTATGGTCGCCCATCTTAGAGCACAACTCAGGCCGTTCACAACTATAAGAAAACTACAAACTATAAAAACAAAAACCAAGAACTAAAAAACCCAGCACCTCAATCATTTCCTAGGATGACACAACAACCATCCATAAGGCTCCCATCGCTCTACCCCAGTGCCTGGATAAAGAGCCAGGTCTTGATGGCCTTCTAGAAGGCTAAAAGGGTGGGGGCCTGCTGGATTGCTAGAGGGAGGATGTTCCACATAGTAGGGGCAGCTATGGAAAAGGCACACTTCCTAGGTCCCACTAGATGGCAACATTTCAGGGAAGGGACCTGGAGCATATCTACCTATCCAATCTGGTGGGAAGGCAGGTGCTTTCTGGGACAGGCAGACCCGCAAATAACCTGGTCCGGTGCCATGTAGGGCTTTAAAGGTAATAACCAGCACCTTGAATTGCACCTGAAAGGAAACTGGGAGCCAGTGCAGCTCGCGCAACAGGGGTGTAATGTGGGCAAACTTAGGGGTGCCCAGCACTACACGCTGCTGCATTTGGACCAGTTGAAGCTTCTGGGTGGTTTTCAAGGGGAGCATTGCAATAGTCTAGATGGGAAGTGACCAAGGCATGAGTAACTGTGAGCAGGGCCTCCCGGACCATGAATGGGCTCAATTGGTGCACAAGATGAATCTGTGCAAAGGCCTCCCTGGCCACAGCTGCCACCTGCTCCTTGCATCAGCTCATCTGAGGAAGTACAACCCCATCCCGAGTCAAAGATGACATATCACCAGACCCTTGGGGACCAAAACCCCCAACCACTCCATTTTGCCAGGATTGAGTCAAAGTCGGTTCCTCTCCATCCAGACCATCACAGCTTCTTGACACTTGGTCAGTTCAGCAACAGCAACAGCATCACCTACCCAGCTGAGAGTGGAGATGTATAAGTGGGTACCATCAGTGTGCTGATGATACTGTACCCCATGCTGTCGAATGACCTTGTCCAGTGGTTTCATGTAGATATTAAAGAGGAGGGGCAAGAGACCTGAGCCCTGAGGCACCCTGTATTTCAGGGGCTTAGGGCATGACCTCTTTCCCCCACCAACACCAATGGGAAATGGGCTCAAAGAAAGGAGGAGAATCTCTGCAAACAGTGCCTCCCACTTCCAATCCCCAAAGGCGGTTCAGAAGAGTTGCCATGGTCGATTGTATCGAAAGCCGCTGAGAGATCCAGGACAGCCAGGAATCTGAACAAACAATCCTGCATCAACTGTGCATTGTAATACTTTTGAAAGAAAATGGCAGTTGGCAACTAAGATGTAGAAGTACAGCATTTAGTATTTGCAGTGAACAGCTAGAAGACATTTGTAGCCAATATGTAGCTAGCATGGAAGTGCTAGACTCAGTCTTCAAACAAATAGGAAAAGAGGTTTGCAGCCAAACCTTTCCATATTTATTTAAGTCAGGTCATAGAAATACAACTTCAGGATCAAACAGCTGAATTTAAAGTGGGATATTCCAGGTATAATTTTAAATGGTGCCAGTTGTTGATTCATCACTAGCTGCTTGATATCATTTCCCATTCCATTTCACTGTAGTACATAGAAATTTATCTTCCAAATCTCTTACTTTTTCCAGGATTAAAACTATGAATCATAGTCCCTGATTTTTAAGAACTAGTCAACAAGAATTGAACTCTAATATAATTATACTTGCAAAAACAATTATAATAATTAGCATTCAGAGAATTTTCAGGTTCTAATTCTCTTGGTGGAGTAGACTTAAGCAGTTAGATCGTTTGTATATTTAAACAGTGATATGTTTTTTATCATTGTTACTATTTTCCTGCAAGGAAGAACACTGTAAATGTTCATGTTGTGAAATTGTGGCTGAACCTAAGATAATGGCATACCATGTACTTCTAGGATGTGATTTAAAGCTTTATTATCCAAATCTCAATTCAGTATTCTGATCAATGGAAGTGTTCAATTGTATCTCCATTTATATTAACTACAGGTTTACAAAGAATCTCTCCCCTGATAAAATCAACTTGAGCACACTCAAAGGGCAGGGGCAGCTGACTAATCTAGAACTGGATGAAGAAGTTCTGCAGAATTTGCTGGATCTGCCCACCTGGCTAGCCATTACTCGAGTTTTTTGTAACAAGGCCTCCATCAGGGTAAGCCAACATTCTCATAACTATTAATATGATATTTGGTATTTTCCTGTTCTAACCACTTCTCTGCTTTTTTACTTGGATGTAAAAGCTGCTCTGGCTTTTTGTACAAATCTTCCCATACAGGCACTTTGAGATCTGCTATAGTAATTGGCAAATAAAGATCAAGTTCTGAATCCCAGTTGTTTCAGAAATGATAAGCAGTCTGATTACATTCAATTTTGAATTGTTTGCCAGTTTGCTGTTTGGCTTCACTTCTGACACTTGCTTTCATGCATAATTAGAGAGATTGTATTTAGTGGTCACAGTTGTACATTTATGTAAAGAGCACAGTGTTCTCTTCCTGAAAAATTTGGTGTAGGGTTTCTCTGGAATAAAATTAATTTTTCAGTTGATGTAAGCAAGTAATCATTCACTATTAGGATTGGTGGTAGCGGCAGAAGCCTCATGAAAAATGAATTGAAAGATTTATTAATAAAAAAGTATAGCTCTAATCTTTTTCTGCTATAGTAGCAAAATCAGACCTACCTGCTATATTTAAAGGGGTTTTTTTGTTTTGTTTTTTTGAGATCAGGATTAATAATTGAAACATTTTAGGAAACATTTGAAATTGTAACATCAGAATTGTCTCCTTACGGACACAGTATATGCACAGAGAAGTGTAGTGTAGTGAAGAAACTGTTTCTTTGTGTATATGCTTTTCTTTGTTTAGCCTCTCTAAATTTTTGTGCTTCTTTTATACATTTTTTCCTGACATGGTGTCAGTATACTTGCTGATAAATTAATATAGAATATAGCCTTTGTTTACAGAACTAAGTTCAAACAAGATAAAAAATTATTATGCTCCATATATAAGGGCACATAACTAATGAAAATGTTAGAAATTCTTAGGTTTGTCAGGAAATCATGCTAATGTGATTTCATTTTGCCTAAGCCAGAGGTTCTCAGATTTTGCAATACTGTGATCCCCATAATGTTTCCCTGTCCATGAATAAAACTAATGATTTCATTAGGGTTAAATTGGTCAAGAAATAAATTTAAAATAATTAAATTTTAATTTCTACATCGAATAAAACAGTGATAGAACCATATGTCTGTATAAGGCAAAACAGTTTCATTGGAAATAGCCCCCCATTGCTTTAAATCAGCTTCTCTTAAATTCTTAAAATGGTGAAGCTTGCCAAACGTTGCTTTTTCACTGTCTCCCCCAGTATAGCCACAATGAGGTGATAGTTACAGTGCAACTGCTTTTCCCCTTCCAACCTAGTACTTGTAAATCCCTCCATCACTTTTACAGTTCTCTATTCTCTGCTTCCTTATATCCCCTCCTCCCTTCTCCTCTTCAGAGTGATTCCTTCTGGAGAATGAGGCTCAGAGCCATGAGCATCTGACGTCCTCAAAGTTATGAACACTATGTTGCGCCATTGTGCACAAGCTCTGTCCCTTTTGGACAAGCATGTGATGGGGCAAGGCTGCTTTCATCAGGTCAGCTTGTCGCAGACACATATACACCATGGATGCTACTGGTCAGAACTTTGCATAAAAGCTTTGTACATTTCAGGCATGATTATTCCTCCTTTGAAAGTCAAAGGGGTATGTTAAAAAAAGCAAAAGGAACATTCAGGCTTTGTACAGAGCTCTAGAACGATCACACTATTTTGTATTTGGCAAACTTTTGCATCAAGGCATTGTCTAGCAACCTTCCAACCATTACCAAACAATGCTGAACTAAACCATTATCCTAGCAGTTTACCAGTCTTTGAAATACACCTTTAAATTTTATGGATATGTAGCTTTCTGTTTCCAAAGGTCTGCTATCTGAGGAACAAACAAGAAAATTGAGATTGTAACAACATAATTTTATGTTCCCTGCTATCTTTGCTTTCACTGCTGTTATATCAACCAGTGAAAAACAATCTATATACTACTAAAACTCTCATTCTGTTCTTCTGTTTGTCTGTCTGTACCTTCAAAATAGCCCAAACAGTGCATTATATCGCTACACACACACGCGCGTGTGCACACACACACACAGATATATATATATGCGTGTGTGTGTGTGTATTTGAATTAAGGTACCTAAAATCCACTAACTTAAAGAATGCGTAAAAAACGCGGGACCCATTACGCCCGTGGAATTGACATTTCCACAGTGTTCAGACCAGTTTTATTCACAAAGTTGTGGCTGTTGCAGTGTCTTCGTGGTCACGTGATCATGATTTCCGATGCTCCCTGCCAGCTTCCCACAAGCAAAGTCAATGGGGAAGCCAGCAGGAAGTCAGAAATTGCTCCCATTCCCACTGCTTTTTTGCCCACCTGCGGTCATTCTTTTTATCTGTTTAGGCAAGTAAATATTGACTTATTGAAGTTTGTTTACCACTACAATTATTTTTCTATTTATGATATATACTTTTCTTAGATGATCATGGGATCATCCAGCTTTGGGGTAAAAAAAATATGGTCAGCCTAAAGTTTAATGTTCATTCTAGTCACATCAGACTGCACTATCTTTCTCTCAAAGAATGACCCAACAGGTCACAGGGTTGTCTCGTAAAATACAAAATTGCAGCAAGTTATCTATCAGTTTCTAATCAGAAGCTGTTCTTGTGTTTCATTTGGCCTATATGACCATATGTTATTTACTTGGAAATTAATTGTATTTATTTACTAATATTTTATTCCAAAATTACATTCTGTTTCTGTTTAAAAGAGGACTAGTAACTCCTTGTTTTAGTAAGCAATGGAAATATATGTACTGAACACTGAAAAAATTTACAGGGAAGAATAGAGCGAAAGACTGATTTTAAAATGTTATACTCTGCCTTTTGGGTTTTAGTGCTTAGCAAGTTTTTAAAGGATAATGTTTTGCCAACTTCATAATAATTCATTACATGCCCAGTTTCATTCTAAGGTTTGAATTAGGGATATTGACAGTTTTTAAGACCATTATCAGTTTTCATCAAAGATTACACTGCACTTTCATTAGTATTGGGAGGGGGTCATTAATTTGTGCGCTTTCACTACTTTAGAGGGTCAGCTAATCCTCTGGAACCAGGTTTCAAGAGTGAGGGGGATTCTGACAGACAGGATAATTTGTGATCTTTAGAGGCAGCCTAGGAAGACAGACTGCTTGAAGCTGAAGGAGGATTTTCTGCTTTCTACACCTGCTTACTTTCTCTGGTGGCAGTAGTATACCTAATCAATCCCTTATTTGCTGATCAGGCAGCCATAACAATACATTTTTCTAACTGTATGTGTATTATTATGTTGACAGATACCATAGCCATTTCAAATAATACATTGCTTTGAAGATCTCCTTAGAGCAGTGCCTTCAAAGTCCTCATGATTTGGACATCATGAATTAGCTGTTACAGAACGTGATTTTATGGGGTAGTAGTTTGAGGCATAGCCGCCAAATCCATCCAATTCATTCTGTTGCCTGAAGTAGCTGTATCATTTCCCCTAATGGAAGGGCTGACATTGGTGATATTCCTACAAGAGCAGAAGTGTTTTAATTAATGTAACCAATAAATTAAAAAAAAATGTTTTAAATGTACATTTGACAAAGGACTAGTAAGCACAGAAGTTCATGACACAAAATAGTATTTTATTTCCTTTAGCAGATCTTGCACTTGTATGCAAAGAGCATTTAATAAGGAATGGTTTTGTTCTCAGTGTGTATTCCCATGCATGTAATGCCACTTTTCGGAGCAGATGTTTGCTAGGTCCTTGCAGTATTTTCTGTTTATTTAACTTTAATTCTGTTGTTACAGATTCAGTGGACTAAGCTGAAGACTCACCCAATCTGTCTGGTAATGGCCTTGTTTATCTTCTCTCTGTTAGTAAGAACTTGAACCTAGTTTGTTTCTTTAAAAAGCATTTATTTTTAAAGCTGAAAAATAAGGATCGATAATACTGCTCTTGGTCTCCATTTAGGTCTGTTACAATTGTAATTCATGAGCATGGTTCTGTATAATTTCTGTGATGAACATATAAAGGTTGGAAGTAATTAAGCTAGTTGCAAAATACATTCATCTTTCTCTTAGGTTTTCAGCATTGTTGTATTTATAAGCCTTTTTTGACATTATAAGATTCCAATTTTGGAAGTATACCTTGCCAGATGCTCCTATAAAAAAATGTGGACTGATAGCATTTCATGTGTAGTATTCTACTGTCCTAAGCTACATATGACATTATTAGTATTTATGAGTAGACCCACTATACACTTATTGTGGGAATGAATTTGGAAAATGTTTGAGTGAAAGAAAATTATGCCAATGGCATTGTGTTTGGGTTAATTAAAATGTTCAGATTTAGAACTGATAAAAAAGTACTTCTTCATATATTTCATAATTAATCTGGAGTTCATTACCACAAGACATGGTAAAGGTTGCAAAATTGGATGACTTCAAAAGGAGGTTGGATAAATTAATGGGGAAGAGGTCTAGTGAGGGCTGTTCATTTAGAAAACGTAATGGTATATAGCTGGGTTGGAGACAGTATGTCTCCAAATACAAGCTGCAGTGGAACAGTGGCAAGAGGCACGTGTTTTAGTTTCCTGATTGTGAACAAGCCAGAGAAACCTGTTTGGCTGTTGTGAGAAACAAAATGTTGAACTAAGATGGGCCTTGGACTGGTTTAGCAATGCTCATTCTTAATGACTTAATTTAAAGGCCATTCTTTTTTCAGGTCCCATATGATAGTCTTCTTCATTGCTTTAATTGGGGGTGGTTTTGAGGATGTGAAGCTTGGTTGGCTTCTAATTTATGCTAGATCTTTTTTGGATAGTAACAGTACTGATATTTATTAGTATGGTGGACAGCATGTACATTTCTAAATAGAAATGTTATGTTGGAAATTTCAGTATGTGAAACAGCCCTAAATAACTTGAATCTAGTGACAAAAAAGGTGAGATTACACAATGGCTACTTTTACCCATGCTAAGTCAGGATAGCATTGTATACAGCTAACAAGGAATCATAAATAGTTGGTTTTGCACATCAAAATCAGTAAAAAATAATCACATTCTGGTTTAGGGTTTGCAAACCGGTTTGTTGAACAACTAAGAATAGGTCATGCATACGAGTGAAGTAATTATTTATTTTGGCAAATTCCTAGTTTGTTTTCTTTCCTTTACTTTGCAGCTTTGTGGATTCATCAGAGGCTACATTGAGGCAGAAAACCAAGCCAGGAAATGAACCAGAAAATCACACATTATATAGTTCTGTTCACACATCATGCTAAGCCACAGCCTAGTCAGTAGCTAACATCAAATCATGGTTTTAGACTGTGATTTATGCACACAAAAATAATATTGACTCCGTTTTTAGCCCTTGCTGAGAAAAACACACTTCATTACTGTTAGCATGATGTATGACCCAGTCACTAGATTAGGAAGGAAGGATTCTTACTGTTTAGCCCTCTAGTATTTTCTAGTTTTTATCTTGTGTGCTCTCACAATACAGCTGGTTTTCTCCTAGATCCTTACATGTACTTTCATATCCCTTCTTCCTGTTTTTGTCTTTGCTGTTTCACAGTATTTGGATAAAGTTGAAGTGGAGATGCAGACATGTGAAGAGCCCCGGCCACCCAATGGACAGTCTCCCATCGCCCTTGCTTCAGGACAAAGGTTAACTCTGCCTCTAATTTTTTTCTTAGTGTGGCTTTTGATATAACCTTTGCTTTTCCAGTTTAAATGATACTGTGATGCGGGGGTGTCTACAGCAGCTGTCACAGGGTTAAAAATGGCAGGTGCAACCAGGGAATCAGAGGCGTGTCCTTTTTAAACATGTGTCACACATAAAAGGGTGGGACTTTGATTGCCCAATTATGCATGTCAGTTTGAAGCCAGGAAGCATCATGCAGCTTTTTTTTTTTTTTGGATATCTTCCTTTTGTAGGGATTCTCATATTGTCCTAATAAGGTGCAAGTAACAGCAGCATCTCCTAGAGCTAAACTATATGGGACCCAGATTACAGTTAATTTTCCCAGATGTTGGGTGGGTGGTAAGAGTTTTTTTGTTCTGTTTTGAGACTGCTGGAGAAGAAAGGTTTAAAAAGAGAACGTTAGATTTTGTGACTCTGGGGTTGTCTTTTGTAAAACAAAAATGAAATCTACATACACAGGATATGTTGTACTTGTACTTTGGGACTTTAGCACATTATCATTTTGGAAGGGCTATTTAAGAAAAGCCACTGCACGATATAATATTTTCATGTTTGGTTGAAACATTAATTATAGCTGAGACTTTTTCAAAAGATCAGTCAATTTTAGGCAATAGGCTAGTTTTTCAAATGCAATCCATGAATATGGATACGAGCTTGAGACTTGAACAGAAGAAGGTAGTACAATATATATATTATTTTATAATATGGGGAAAATCTTCCTCCAACAAATCGTATCTCTGTATCCACATTTTCTCTGCAGAAGCCACAGTATTAGATATACTACATAACCTATAGCTTTTCTGGTTTCACTGCTAGATATGATTTTGAAAATGAATCTTTTCAAAGTTGTGAGAGACTGTAGGAAGGAGGTAGTGAAAGTTTATGTGAGAAAAAGCAATGAAGTCCAGATGTGAGGGCCATGGGAAACAACCATTTCAAGGAGACTCTGCCTTAATTGACTCACTATCAGTCTGCCTGAAAATTTACTGTTACAGTTTTCAAGATTACATTTTATCCCTGACTAGCATTGAAGATGCCTTTCTGAAACCCACATGGTTCTTGCTTCTTTGGTTTATCAGTTTCATGGGGCAAGCAAGATTTATTTGTTGTGTGGACTTATGAAGATATTTCATATTCTGTTTAATATTTTTAATGATAAAATAATAACACTGAAAGGAAATAAATAATCTAGCTGCCTGTCCTGAGCTAGAAATGACAAAATCATATTAGCAGTTTAATTGAAAGAATGCATTCAAGGGTGAAATCAGTATATAATATATTATAATTGCTAGTTGATGAAGGAGGCAGGATTTTCTAACATCCATAGTGCCTGTAGAGAAAACTTAATAAATCTAGATAACCTGAGCTACCAGTACAGGTAAAATTCACACATAGGAAGATTATATATGTCATCTATCAGTAAATTTAACCTGAGGAAAAATTCCTTACACAGTAAACAGTAAGCTTGCTAATTTATTCATTTATTTATGATCCAAGATCAGTCATAAAGGTAAAGTTTATTTATTTATTTATGATCCAAGATCAATCATTAAGCTAAAGTTCAACCATTATGTTGAACTTAAATACAAGAAAGGAATAACATTACATTAAATTAGATTAAAAAAAAAACTAAAACACTTAGTAATGTGGAGGAAGTACTAGGCTGTTTTTAAGAGCCATGGCAATTGATAAAAATTTTGCGACCTCCTTAGAGGTTTTTGAAAATTGATAATAAGATTACTGCTATCCTTCTATATTATCACAGGAACAATTAAAATTACTGACAATTAAGGGTATGAATTTCAATTACCATTGGGTATATAATGGGCATTTTAAAAACCCATATATAATACAGATTCAATCTCTGTATCTAAGCATAGGCCAAGTGTGACTTTCCTATAGAAGGTGAGTGTATCTGCCTGTTGTCTTCCTAATGGGTAACACCCCAGTTCATGGCAGAGTAAAAAGTCTCCTTTGAGGAACGTATAGGATATTAAAAAGGGCAATCTGGCTGAGACATCTGTCACTCCGTTGATCACCAAGGTTGATTCCGTTGATCTGGCTTGCTAGGCAGATGTCCCCTTCCTCCCTTACTGCTCCATGTGCATCTCTCCTGAAGTTGCACACTCAGTGGAAGAGAACAACCATCCCAGATAGAAGGAGTGTACTATTCTTCAGTCACGGGTATACAGTAGCTGCGGTCCTCTGCTAGAATCTCCTGAATGTTCAGAATAGATTTGCTGGTCAAATTATTGGAATATAAAGCCTTCCATTAAGCATGTGAGTGTAGTGTACGGTTAACCCTTTGAAGTAGTCCAGACAAGAAACCAGTACCATGAGTACTAACACTACCTTTATTGTAAGATTACAGTAACAGAATCTTGCAAGTCTGAAAGCACATCTCTCCCCCCTTGCCTTTACTTTCCAGGGAACTAGGGAGGGTCCCTTCTGATATACTTTCCATGCCCTCATTCCTTCTGTGGGCTGAGGTGTCCTTTATTTGACCGTTGCTCTGGCTGCAGCTCTTCCTCCTCCTCTCCCTCAAGGATAGTCTCACAGACCATTATACATACAGTGTAGTTATTTTGTACTCTTTAATTTTCATGTGCTTTGGATGTGATATACTGTGTTTGGTTTCCAGCATTTCCAGTTTTCTGGATTATGTGAGTCTGACCAAACTCTAGCAGACCTTGTTTTCATAGTCTAATCAAGTATTTTAACGATGTGTAACATTTGAGTACCATGCAAAAAATTGTACCTATGTCATCTTTCAGAGGGAGAAGAATACAGTTGCTCTACTACTATTAAAGCTTGAGATCACCATTGGTTGTAGGAGTAAAATATGATTAACGTGTTCATATGGTATAAAGAGAGCTATATTATTTTACGCTAACTTAGAACCGCAACTATTAGTATGAAAACAGTAAGTTGCTGCTGCCTGGCCATGTTGTTTTGCATAAGCCTAACACTTTTCAGTGTTACATGCTTTAATGATTAAGAGAGCTAAAGCATTGCACTCTATTAAAAGTTATTTCCTCCCCTACAGTGAATATGGGTTTGCAGAGAAGGTTGTGGAAGGTATGTATATTATTGTCAATTCAATTACCATTAAGATACAGTCCAAGGCCTTCCACGCATCATTTGAATTATGGCAACTTCAAGGATATAGTGTCAACCCCAACTGGCAGCAAAGTGATCTTCGTTTTACCCGAATCACTGATTCACATAAGGGAGAGGTAGGTCCATAAACAGGTATCTTTATATTTGGAATGCTTTCTATAGACTTGCAAAGATTTTAAATTTTGTGATCTTTTTTTGTTGCACTGCACATCCTTGTGTAATGAACAGTGTAGATACTGTAGTTTACCACAACCATTTTAAAATAAATTGAGTTGCTTGTAGTTTTTTGTTCTTTTTTAAAATTGATGTAGTATTTCTATTACAGTAAAGTCTGTTTTCTAATCTATCACTTACAGCACTACATTAAACACATTTAGGAGCTAAGAATCTTTCTGCTTTTTTATTTTGTGACCCTTGCTTCCCTCTGGATAGGTTTTAACATTTAAAGAACTCACCTGGCAGACTCTTCGGATAGAAGCTGATGCTACAGAAAATGGAGAACAAGATCCCCTCACTACCCCACTAAGACTTATTACTAACCAGGGCAAAATCCAAATATCGCTTAAGAGAAAAGTGAGTATATATTTTGCTGAAAAGTGTTATTGGATAGAATGATTAGTGTATCTAGAGTTCAGATAATATACATCATATCTTTTGATATGAACTTGATATTAAGAATTCCCAGCTCACCCATGAGATAAAACAGAATGGAATACATCTTCGCCAAGCTCCTCTGAAGTTTGAAGAACAGAAATAACTATGGATTTTTTTTTAAATGTAAATGTGAATAATTTATCCTAGCTACAGAATGTGGAGCTCTTAATTGCACAATTTAGAATTATTTCATAAACAAATAATTTCAGATCCCTGATTTTTAGTGAAAAAACAAAAGATATGATGCATGTTATATGTTGTTGAAAAAGGGTCTAGAAAACACAACAGAAACTTGATAAACTGTAGATTTTAAAAAGTTGTTAAAAGGTTGAGATGGAATGCTTCCATTAAATGCTCAGGATATAGTGGTAAGTCTTTCAAGTAATCTGAAGTATACCTTCTTTCCTGAGCTCAGTTCATATTTACAGCCACTCTATATCAATTTTTCTTGTGTTTCCCAGACCCTTTTTGAACAACAGTGTATTCCATGACTGTGCATATACCAAGCATCTTTTTAAAATTTTGTATTCTTAACTCACATTATTAGGGTAACCTGTTTATTCTATAAATTAACAGAATAAATACATATTGAAAAATCATATAATACATTTTGTTTAAAGCACTATCAAATATAGTTTGTTCCTTTCTTTTTCAGATAAAAGTGATATATTTTACTGTGTTCAGAAATTAATTCCCATTAAAGATCTAGGAATTAGCCCATTCGCTAACTTCTGGAAAAAATAATTTAAAAATGCTATCCATTGAAGCTGCTTATTCTTGGAAATAAATAAAAATCCTTTCAGACAATGTGCTGACCTTTTTTTGTTTATGAGGCAGACAAAGGATTGCAATGTGGTGGCATCTAAGCTCATGTTCCTTCTTGATGACTTGCTATGGGTGCTGACTGACTCCCAGCTTAAAGCTATGATGAAGTATGCAGAGTCCTTGAGTGAAGCCATGGAGAAATCAGCCCAGCAGAGGAAAAGTTTGGCTCCTGAACCTATCCAAGTAAGCACTTTTAGCACACATAGTTTTTAAGATGAATAACAGCAACTCATTGAAAGTTGAGTTTACACAAAATATTTGATTGTCCATTGGTCTTCATAATGACCACTAGAGATATTCTCCTGCCATAAGTACAACATGCATAAAATAAATAGCCCTCTCAGAGCACAATTTTAGCAACTTTCTTTTTTTAAAATAGTCATGCTTCTGTTTCAACATTTGTCCTTAAGTTCTGTCCTTGAAAATTATATTTCATATGATATTGTTTATTACATTTGTGTTGCACCATAATAGGAGTTGACTCCTGATAGTTTACATGATATAGGCAAAATTAAAACTTGCATTTTAAAAGTTAAAATAAACATTAGAAACGGTCAGCTGCCCCTCCCCCCACATCCAGTTAGTCAGTAAGAAATAAAAAGATGATTGAGTCTTAACTAGAATCCTCTACAGAACAGCTTGGTCTTCAGTATCTTCCTAAGTGTGTCATGGACAGGGCCAGACTGCTCTCTAATGGGAGGCTGTTCCAGAGAGCTGGTGCTGCTACTGAAAAGCAGCATGACCTGGCCTCGGCTCCTTTTACTTCCTGAAAGTGGGAAGTTAAAAGTAGCTTCTCCTGGGATGGTTTAATAGGTTCGGCCAATTCTGATTGGATTAAGCAGTCCATCAGGTATGCAGGTGCCAAACCATAAAGGGCTTTATAGGTCAAAAAGTTTTAGCTTGCCAAAATAGTATAAGAACTCTGCTGTTCCATAGAAATTTAGGGTTGGATCCAAACTGGACATTATGTGAACATGGGGCATGCTGGGATTCAGAAAAGGCTGTATTAGCAAGAGGGAACTGAACGGTACTATTGATTGGTTTTCTGTTCCTCAGCATAGTTTACTATGCTGCCTCTCATAAGATTACACAGTAAACTGTATGGGTAGTATGGTTAATGACCACTTGTTCAGCGACTGTTCAAAGTTGTGGCAATGCTGAATGAGTGGTACTTAAAACCAGTCCTTGAAGTTCCTGCCATCACAGCACCCACATGGTCACATGATTGCGATTCAGGCATATGGCAACTGGCTTGCACTTATAACATGTTCAGCGTCCTGGGGTCATGCGATTGCCATTTGCAACCTTCCCTGCCAGCTTCCCACAGTCAAACAGGGAAGGTCGCAAGTTGCTCTCGTAAGTCACTTTTTCTCCCTGATAATGGGAGAGTGTCTTCACTTCTATACCAAGAGTGTCAATGGATCTTAAACTATGACTTATATAACAAAAAATAATATTTAGAATTTATTGGACTCCACTATGTTTGTATAGAAAAGGACTATCTAAGCCAACATTCTGTTGGAGATGTAATAAGGATAATGCTTCTTTAAAACACATGCTTTTACAATGTCCTATACTTATTAAGTTTTGGGAGAAAATAGTGGACTATATAAATATGACTGTGTGACAAAAGCTAAAATTTTCAGAGGATAATATTCTCTTGAATTATATACGATAATGCTTCTTTAAAACACATGCTTTTACAATGTCCTATACTTATTAAGTTTTGGGAGAAAATAGTGGACTATATAAATATGACTGTGTGACAAAAGCTAAAATTTTCAGAGGATAATATTCTCTTGAATTATATACCTATTACATGGAATTTGACAAATGGACAATGTAAATGGATTCTTTGTGCCCTTACTATGGCCACAAGATTGATATTGCAGCATTGGAAAGAGAAATGCGTGGCTCCATTTATTCAGTGGATTGAAGACCTGATTACACTATGAGTGGATTGCCTATAGATGTAGAATTTGTATGGACAAGTATAATGAAATATGGAACTCATTTATACAAAATACAGTAGGTTAAAAAAAAAAAGATAGTTATATAAGTGTATTAGAAATAAATATATATGCACTTGAATAATATTTACATTAGATAAGTATATATAGAATTGTTACTGTTAACTGTTACAGTGATATACTTTGTTTCTTTTTCTTTTTTCTGTTGTATTTTTTCACTTTTTAAAGCACTTTTTATGCATTGTTTTGTTTACTTTGAGAATGTTTGTATTTGTATTGTAATTATCTTCCTGCTTTGTTCATTTTCTTTTTTTTTCTGTTACTATTTTAAAAGCAAAAGTAATAATAATTAATGAGTAATAATTAATAATAATAAAAAAGTCACCTTTACTCCATAGAGCACAGGCCTGCCCGCAGCACCCCCCGCTCATACTCCATAGCACGCACATGCATGCCTGGCTGTGGTCATGCAGTGCTCCTTCCCACACCCATCCACACTCCCACAGCGTAGCAGCCCTCCCCTGCCCTCCCAAACATGTGCCACAGCACCCCCTCCCCCACCTGCCCACACTCGTGCCCTGTCTACCTGACTTAATTGATTGAGACCAAGTTCTTTGGCAATGGTTTGTAGCCCTTTCTAGTATGGGCACTGACAACCCTTAGCTCTTTTGCTCATTTCCACAAACCTGTGTTGTGAAGAGGAGACTCCAGTGGTTGCAATCAATGTGTGGCAGCTAACATGCGCAGGGGAGAGTCCCAAAAACTCAGAGCTGATTGTCTGAGTGAAAATTCAGACTCAATTGCACCCCTATGAGAAAGCTGATTATTCTATGGCTTCATATACTTTTTACCACAAAGACAGTGAATGTTGTCTCAGTGTTGTTAATGTGACGCAGTGTATTGTTTTAGTTATTTAATCGATATAGCTAGCCGATCACAGAAGCAACTCTAGGCAGTATTTTTTTAAAGAATTAAAAAGAGAAATACAATAATGTAAGAAACATATATATAAGATTGTATCAGGGCAGAAACAGTACCATAAAAAACAATCACCAAGCACAGTTACAAATCTCTCTTCCCAGTGCCTGGCAGAAAATCAAGATCTTTGTGGCTCTTCATTGTAGTTAAATAAAGAACCCAGCAATTACCTTAAAATGAAAAAGACTTGTGTGGGAGGGGGAGGGTGGGACAAATCACCAGGGAAGTATAAAGGCCTGGAAATATTTGTTCTTATTTTCTGCTTAGTAAGCGGCTTAGATGTGGGTGAACAGTATTAGTAGTACCAGGTGGCTTCACACCTGACTGGAGAACATACTCAGGAATACAACATTCATTAATAGTTCCTCATCTGACTGGAGGGCAGGGTCAAGTGAAGTACAAGAATCATTCCTGCACACTGTGCTCTTCAACATTTTTATTAGTGATTAAAAAGAAGAAGTGGGGATGAATGAAACATAAATGCAGGATAAATGCAACATAAACCCAAAATTAAGCAATATCTGAAGGGCTATAAATTCTAAAGTTTGAACCTTTGAGGCTGGGTGGCTGGTTAGAGGTGAGGGACAGTTAGGCTTTCATTCATAGTTCCTTGGCTTTAACAGTGATCTCAATGCTCATTTTTCCAATGTGGGTTAATCTTATTCACTATATTTTCTATACTGTAATTTAGGATACAGGTATAATGATTCCCCACCCCTGCAAAAACAAAAATCCTTTAGCAATTATCCCAAGATCCCTGATTTTCAGTCTGGCTTTCTGTTTACTAATCTTCATTGAGAGATTTGAATATGAAGTATTGCCTTATTTTAATGCATTTAATTTAATTAATTTAATTTAATTTAATTTAAAGCCTTTTTTTCTGTTTCCAAAGGATGATTTGAGGTCTTTTGATACTATGTCATTTCCATTGTTCTTCTTGGGTTCGGTATAGGTAAATCAGAGTTTCATTTTGCTGTTTTACAGATCACACCTCCTATTCCCAGTAGCCAACAGACTTGGTCCCAGTCATTTGGCAGCACTCACAAAGCGATCAGCCAGTATTTTGAGATACATGATATGAAAGAATCTTCCTATCACCTTCTTATTTCCCGTTTGGACCTTCACATCTGTGATGATAGTCACACTCGAGAAACAGGTAGCTTTAGGTGGGCTGAAATTGGGAGAGCAGTGTGGCTGGGGGGAAATCTTTTTTCCCCCCCTAAGATAACTGCTGAAATTTTAAGACAGGTGTTACAGCTTACTTCCTTCTTTTTCCTCTTTCTTCCTCATTCTGGATTTTTAATGAATTTGTTTCAGTGGCAAGCGCTCTTTTTGAACTCATAGGCCCATTTGGAATGTTGGGAAGTTACAATAAAGGTGCTGTGGGGAACTTCATATTCACAAAATGAAATTGTTAACTAGTGAAATGGCTTCCCACCATTTCTTCTTGTCCCTCAGTACATTATCTAGTCTTCCTTCTTATCTTTATTTTTTGGGATACAGATGTTTCTTCCTAACAAATAATAGGCTGCAGTCACATTCCCCCATTTTTGTCTTCTAAGAATACTCATGGAGCCTATATGAGGTACAGATACATTATTGGAAATAAAGATAATGTTAAAGGCTGATGCTTTGTAGCATGACAACTTAGTTATTTGTTTGTTTATTAAAAGAATATATAAAAAAAGGACCAGGTAGGGTAGGGACTGGCAAGCATCAAGGGAGGTTGCTGTGAGTATCTTCATGCCTATGGGTCTCATATAGCCTACTTATCTACTTGTTCCATGATCTAATTTTGAAATTATAAAGTTTGATAATAGAATCATCCTATATGACAATATTGAGACATTTTGGAGAATCTGATCAAAAATATTTTTAAACAAAAATCTCAATAAAAATAGATGCTGAGAGATTTATTTATTGGTGTATCTTATATTTGAGATTATTTTTTAAAATAATCCCAAAGGTGAGACTCAATTCATTTATGATTAAAACAATGTATACTATTCACAGTGTTGCATTTTGGAGTACGAGTTCATATTCTATTTGCATAAACTAGGTATATAGCAGCCAGGATTTGTCTTATTTTAATTCCATTTTACCACAGGTGCTTCCAAACATGGTATAATGGGAGGTGCAATGCAGCTAACATTTAGGAGGATGGGATTTGACTATTATCCTTTCCACTGGGCAGGTAAGGACATTGCAAGTTTTAAGGATGAGACTTTGAATTATAATTGACTTTGGCTCAAAATTAGTGAGATATTCCATTACCAACCATATTCTGTTACCAGCAAGTGAAATGAGTGGCAGGAGGAGGGAAGATGCTGTGGATAGTGATAGCTTTTACCTGAACCTGTTGCAGTGGAGGTCTTCAGAAGAGCTCAACACATAGCCTGTTTCTGAAGAAGCACCAATTAGAATGCACAGCTATCAGTGGCACTTTTCTTAAATTTAAAAACAATTATATAATTGGGATGCCTTCCAGAGGGCTTTGAAGACTTGGCTCACCACTTGGCCTGGGATGGGGAGGCAAGACATCAAGCGTGGGGATGGCTAGCCCCTTAGAAGCCTGTTGTCTTCAGCTCTGAAACCATCATCCTCTTGGACTCTCTCTTTCTCTTTTTGGTAAAGTTTTGTATAAATTTTTATGTTTTATGTATTTATATATATTTATTGTTTTAATGGTTTGAGTGGGCCTCCCAGAGTCCCCCACTGGGGGGGGGATGGGCAGAGATAAAATAATAAATAAATGGGAGGGAAAATAGGGAGTTATGTCATTCTTTATACCAATTTTTATGAAAATTCCAGTAACAATAGAGATGGACAGGTAAGATTTCCTTTAACAAGGAAAACATCAAGGGAAGTCAACATTACTGAGCACAGCTATGAGTAACAAATATTCATTTACTGTGTAGAAATTCTGTTAGATATAGGAATAGCTATGAGAATGTGTTTGGTTTGGAATCCAAATGGCAAGATTCTTTCAGCTACGGTACTGAAAAAAGACTATTATGTCTAAATAATTTTTCCTATCTGAAAATGTACATGTACAACTAACAACAACAAAACCTTTTAACTAAGTTGATCTGAAAGAGGTAGTCCAAATTAGAACTGAGTATCTTAAAAAATGAAATGAGCTATGACAGAAATCCTGTTAACTTAATCCCCCTGTTTTATTCAGGAGATAACTGCAAACATTGGGTGCAGTATTGCGATGCCATGGAGACCCGGGAACATTGGGCAAAAAAACTAGTGAATGAATTCCAAAACAAGATGGGAAAATATAGCGAAGAGATAAGTTCTGCTGTCTCCAAAACTGCAGAGGGGGAATCTCTCTTCAAAAAGAGACCAGGTAACTCAAGATTCCTTATCAAGGCTTTGCATTTAGAGATGGTTGGGAGCAGCTTTCAGAGCAGCCATGCAAGGCTTAGCAACAACGTAGCTTCTTTAACCATTCAAAAGAGGTTCTTCATACCTTTTGATTACTTTGCTATTCTATATTTGCTCAGTCAAGAGCTCATTTAGCATCTGAATACCATTGTGAAGACTTGGCAACTTTTATCATATAAATAAACTGCTGTTGAATTCACATTGCATTGTGCTACTTATGTGTCTTGTTAAAAAGTGAAAGTTAGGAATAGGGATGGGATACAACTTAAGATAAGTCAAGAAATAATGCATGACACATTTGGGTTCTGTGTAACTGTACTGAAAAGCACTATTGTCTATGATGAGAAAAGCAGACTTCATCTTGTTTCAAACTGCAAATGAAGATGGTTCTACTACCTTAATTTAAGAGCTGATGAGAGCTAAATCCTGGAATCTATATCAGATATTCATGTTGGTTCTCATAACTTGACTTTTACATATTCCTCATTTACTGTAAACTGTAAACTGCTGCAGGCTGAATAGAAAGGAAAATGTCCCCTTTTTGCTATAGTTTAAAGCTCTCCAATCCCATTTGTCAAATCAGTACTCCTTCCTTTTCCCATGACCTTCCAGGTTGCTCTGCAAGTAGTAGAATACAAGTTGCAGACTAGGGAGAAAAATTTCCAGGAGCGATCTGTTATTCTCCACTTTCACACTTATTAATGTAAGATAGTTGTGTAGAATAGCTGAGATACCCATGATTTTATTTACTGTTGTCAGATCTTGGGGGCAGATAAATAAATAAACATCCATCCATCCATATATACCCACACATATTCATTCATTCATTCATTCATTCATTCATTTACACACACACACACACACACACACACATGTACTTGTATAGTGAGATGGGTGGTGTGTGTGTGTATAAATAAATAAATATGTGTTTTCCCTTTTACACAACTTGTTTCACAATGAGAGCAAATGCACCACTGTCTTCTGTATGTATTGAACGTGGGAGGGGAGTTCTGGAGTTTTGCAGCCTATTATCGTTGGTGAGCCCTAATGATAACCTCTGCATATTAAGACTGGTATTTTAAAACATTTTATCTTTGTTCAGAAAGCAATTTCTGCCTTCTTCTATCACTAGTCATGGGAAAGACAATGCTAAAGACGCAGCTACAGACAACTCATAAATAAGTCAAGCCATAACTTCTGGGCTTCTGCTAGTGAATGTTTTCTAGGGTAGTTTTCAAGTACACAAAGTTCTATATTTGGTGCATGCAATAATATTCTTGGTTTGGCACCCAGTTCTTCATGTCGGTATAGAATTGAGGGTGAGAAAGGGAGAGGGCAGTACCTGTAAAGGATTGATTTTAATAGTTAAAAGGAAGAATTTTGCATGTTCTGATGATTAAAATGTTTTTGCTTTGAGGTGTTCTTTCTAGTTCTCCAAAAAGTTCTCCAGAGAAGGGATTACATCAGGCTAGCACACCATCTCATGTCCTGTTAGGACTCCAATGGCCTGCATGGAATAGACTCCGATCCAGTTGCCTAGTTGTTCGAGTTGATGATCTGGAGAACTAGATCGGA